ACTCTATCATAAGCCTTTGCCACATCTAGTTTGACCATTACCCCCGGCATGCTACTTTATACTCTAGCATGAATACATTCTTGTACAATCAATACACCATCCATTATCATTCTCCCTTTAATAAATGCATATTGATTGGCATATATAACAAAAAGAAGAACACTTTTTAATCTTTCTGCCAAGACCTTAGAAATAATCTTGTATAAGCTAATTAACAGACTAATTGGCCGACTACTATAAATACCGACAAATGTGGATTTCTTTGGAATCAAAGCAATAAATATGGAATTAATTCCTTTATTCAGTTTACCACTCTGTATAAATTCATTAACTATTGATAAAAGCTCATCCTTTAGTAATGACCATAATTTATGAAAAAATAATAAAGGAAATCCATCAATTCCTAGCGCTTTATCACTTGGAAGTGCAAATACTTCATTCATCCACACCCATCTTTCTCTAATCATTTAACTAGGTTTTCACTTGTTTCCATCACCATTTCTCTTGTTCTACGCATTCTCTATCTCTCTCCCCTCAAACTAACTCTCTCTCTCCCCCCCATCCCTCTCTCTCTCCCGAATTTCTCGCTTTAGTTTCTCTCAAATTTCTATCTCTAGTTTCTCTCCACACTCCTGCTGATTTTCTCGCTCTATAATTTTTCGCTCTCTTCACTGCTTCTCTCTTTTAGTGGTGGTGGTTAAGAACGGTGGCCTTGGGGTCGATGGGCTGGGATTAGGGTCGCCTCTTTATTTTGTCTCTTCTTCCTTGCTTTCTATCACCCCTTTGCATTTCCTTTTGGAGTTTAGTGTATTTCTCTCTCCTCGTTTAAACATATATTTGTCTCTATTGTGGGTCTCTATGTTTCTCTCTCATATGTTTAACATATGTTTGTTTCTATTGTGGGTCCCTATTTTTATCTCTTTTCTTGTGGGGTTTCACACTCTTTTCTTCTTTAGAAGCTTGGGTTTCTCTCTCCTATCTATCTTGCTCTATTTAGTGGGGTTGGGCTTTTTCTCTCTCTTATGGGGTTTTAGTTGTTGGAGTTTGTTCTCTCTCTACTGTTGTTTTCAATGAATCTCTCTCAATCTCTCTATACTCCCCTTCATTTTGAGCTTTGTATCACTCTCTCTCCTCTATCTCACTCGTTGGGGGTTTTCTCTCTCTATATTATTTCTCTCTCTTATACACTCTCAAGATAAGCTCTACTACTCTACTCTCATCACTCTGGATTTTCTCTCTTTGAATTTTACAGTTCTACGTCTCTCCTCGCTCTTCTCTTGGTTTTCATCATCTCTCACACCTATTTTTGGAGTTTCTCTTTCCTTTTTTTCTCTTTCCTCACTCTCTATCTGGTATATTCTTTTGTTTTTCTCACTAACTTTCTCTCTCTAAGAAGGGGGTTAATCATTGAACGAGCATAGGGGGTGGAGACCGTGGGGTTGAGAAAGATAGAGAGGATTTGGGGGGAGAGAGCGCTTGAGATAGAAGTTTTGGGGAAAGAAGGCAAGAGAGAGTAGTAACACTGAGAGAGGTTGGGTGTAGATGTCTTTCATGTGTTTGTTTAAGGCAAAAAATGTCACAATGAGCAAAACTTTTGGGTTAATACGACTTAGGGGTTAGAAGATAGGATTTTAGAAAAGTTAATGCGGTTTAGATAAACTTCATATTTGAGAGTCTAATGGAAAACAATATGAAATTAAGGTGTATAGAGATATTTTCCCTCATTTTTATATGCGAAGACGATGAGAAGCACTTCGTATACTATGTTCCCTTGGGAGTTGGGAGCATACTATATATTTATATCCTTGACATGATACTTTAGAGTTTTTTTATTTATTTAAAAGCTTAGGATGCATTTAATTATTACTGGATGATTATTTTCAAAGAAAAAAAATATCTAGAGTTCTTGAACATCTAAATCATTCCCTCCAAAAATTTGATGGCACGTAGAGAGTGAAAGTTTTCTTTTTTATTAATTTTTTTTCTTTGTTTTTGAGGTTGGTTGCTAGGTTCTAGAGATCGCATCCCCAAAAATTTAAATCTAAAAGACATTTCGAATGTAAAATTTGCCCAAGAGAGTAGGTAAATAACATACTCCATCAGAGTAGGAAATTTTCTAGCAAAAATTATGGACCTCATTTGTTTCTCTTCCATAATCTCTATATAATATTAAAAATAAAGAAAAATTTATCAAAATACCTATGAGATATTTTATCTATATAGGTTAATTTAATTTCAAAATATTGATCAAGAGATGCATGTGAGTTGGAATAGTTGCAAATGTACAAACTCATAAATAATAAATCTCTCATAGTAGTTTGATAAATTTTCCTTGAAACTATAGTTAACCCAAAAAAACATTATGTTAGAGTCTAAAAGATAGTAATACTATCCACTTTTGACACAAGACCATTATCAGCCATGTTATCATCCCTAGCCATCAAGTATGACATATGGCAGCTAAGTGTAGGGGATTAACTTCAAGGAAAGATTTATTGAATTTTGAGCCTGGTCAATAGCATACATCTAGCTATTTGATTTTACATCTAAAGGATAGGTGTGGTTGTGACCTTATATCAGAGCTAGACAATCTTATTATATAGTTTCTCAGTTTAGTTGGACAACTTTGAAGTTAACCATAGTAAAACTTACAATACACGAGCGAGCACAGGTCACCCTTTCCCAACCCTATATATATATATATATATATATATATATATATATATATATA